AATGTCCTAACTTATTCTTCTAAGAGTCTACTAAAAATTCGACCTATAGTTTCTTGAATATCTATATATCTATTTATTTTCAGTACAATTTTATGGAATTTTTAAATTTGATCTTGTTAAACAATGGTAAGTAATTACTCGAAAACTACTCAATGTTCTTGCTTTCATGTACTTAGTCAATCAGTTTCAATTCTCGAAAAACATTATATATCGTTACAAACTTTTATTCCTTTTACTTTGAACGTATACAAGGTTAGTCTTATTTTACAATTCAGAATTCTGGAAAATTCACTCTTAAAATGATCTTTGTTCGATAGGTATTCATGTTAAACTTAATCTACAAGACAGATACTCAAAGTATTACAAGATATTCAATCACGATAGAGTTAATTTGTTATTCAAGTTTGAAAGGCAGCAAGACATATTAAAAGCAACATAATAATTTATATCTCATACTTTCAAGAGAAGTGATGTCAATCATCTGTATTTTCATGAAAATATCCGATCACATAATTATTGAAGTTATAATTCTTAGATTGGTATGGATACCACCACAAAATCCATTTCATATTTTTGGCATATCTTCCAGTTACCTATCTTATATTCGTTTTCATTATATAATTTCTACTCTGTTGGTTCAAAAGTAATATATACATAAAATGAACTACTCTATGAATTGCCGTATTACCTAGAAATTTAGAAATTATCAATCATATTTACAACCAATGTGTTGCACACGGTTTAATAGGAATGACTATTTATGGTAAATCAGTTTCACTACAATTTATAAGTAGGAATAACAAATTCTAAACACTAAAAAATCAATACTAATTATTATCACGAAATCTAGCTAATCCTTCAGTACAATGTTACGAGGATACTAATCATTAAGCTTTGTTGTAGTAAGTTATGTTTATAAACGTTTTGTTAAGTGACCTAATGAGGATACTGAATGAATTGTAAACTCTTAAAATTAAGAGAGAATAACAAGTCAGGTTCCTATGGTGATAGTAACCATCGATATTTCTTAACTTATTGTTCTGACTGAAAATAAAGCTAACTAATAATATTGTTAAATAAGGCTTATGGAAACTATTGAATTTTATGGGTTCCATCAAGAACTGATCTTATTTAAGCAACCATCGAAAACCAGGAATCTGTGCACAGCTATTTTGTTCTAATATAAGACCTTGTCGAGTACGAAGTAGTTGCCTAGCAATTGTAATAAAAGATGATTATCCGATACCGTGATTAGGCTAAAGTTAAATGTACAAAACATTGGATATTATCTAAGTGGTTTCAAAGTTAACGGCTCCCCGATTGACATGAATGTCTTAGACTCGGTTTCCATTGGAATTGTGAATACGCACTGCTGTAAAGTTCCTTTTTAGAAAGAAACAGACACCCACTGTCCTCTAGTTTTCAATTGTTGTTCAACTAAGATCAATTTCTGATGTTTACCCAAATCGTTGCAAGAACTTGTTCTAAACAGTTTTTGACATCTCATCCCTTTTAGGCATTCATAAAACAATAATATAATTTATCCAATTCTTTCCACGAGTTTTTTATCGCTTAAAGATCCTCATTGAATAAAGAAATACTTGAAATTACAATTATTCACAAGAAATAAGCTATCCAAAATATTGGGTATTTAATATGGAAGGAGCTGGAAAGAATTGCCCATGACAGGGTTGGATGGAGAATGATGGCAAGCGGCCTATGCTCCTTCACGAGGAGTAACAGGCGTAAGTAAGTAAGTATGGATCAAAATATTTTAAATGATAGTATTTTATTTTTGTATATAGTTTCAATAAAAGTAGTTCGGTCAAGTTCATTACCATAGTGATACGTACTGCTTAGTTTACTTGTATTGCCATTCTTCTCGTTGCAATTATTTTGTGTATTACTGAAATTAGTAGAAAATGATGGGCTAAGCATTTTGAAATGCTCACTAAATACTTTGTTTGAGTAAATACATTCAAACTGTTAATAGATCATCAAGTTCTAAAGCTCACCAACAAATACCATTATATATTTAAATAAAAGTTTTTATATGCAATATACAATATATATTTTTGAAGCAGAATGACCCATTGTGTAGCATTAAAATGTATTAAGCTATTATTAAGATATCTCAATTCTTACAAAGCAGTTGTGACAGCTACATGCTAAGCAAAATCCCTGAATAAATCTAATGAAATTATTTGACTATATAAAGTAAAACCAAAACACTGTACATAAAGAAATTCATTTGAAATAGGATGCTGCTCCGCGTCACTGATTTCACTTGATCAATTTTCTAATCAAAATTTTACGTGAATTTTAGCATAACATACAGGATAGGCTATTGATATCGATTTACTAGTAGTATACAATATCTAGATTCATTCTTTGATTAAAATATTCATACTGAGTTATGATTAACTCAACCTAATATACTCTAGTCCATTCCAAAAATTACTAGGCTCCAGTATTAGTCTACATACGGGTTTTTAGTAAATTTTATCAGAGATCTAGTCATGAAATAATGGGTGTGACTGCATATTTATATGTCACTCGCATTGTTTTGCATTTTACTTAGTTAAAAAAGGGGTGCATTGATGATCAGCATATTGGATTGATTACTACGACTGTTGCTTCATTTTACGTTTATAAAAAATCGAATCGATGTCAGCGTCTGCATCAAAGTTATACGGAGATACCGTGCTAATTTTCAGGTATGATAAATATCTACATGTAACGTAATCGATTTCCCTACATTTTCATCATGCCTTCGGAAATCTATTATCACGGGAAAGCATAATGAAATTAATGTTCAATAGTATGCTTATTTGACATGCATTTATATTCTAACTTTTATTTTATTTTCAGTGGTTTTGTGAAGGCTTCACATGATTTAAACGTATAGCCTATATCCATCTGATTTAAATTATTGAGCTAATGAAAACAATGAAGTAACGGACAATTATGTTGACTTAGTTCTGTAATTTCCAGTAATAACTAGAATAATTCCATACGGAAAATGACTCAAACCTATCACACCACGCAACAAGCACAGTGCTTCTGAGTTCATCAATAAGATTTGAGACATACTGTACATAAACAAGCAACAATCTATCTAATAGCATGTATATTACTGTGAATGAGCACTGATAAAATGCCTCAAATTACAACAAAAAAAATCGCCAACAACTTCCTGGTCGTCAGCGGTTTTCTTGATAGTATAACGGTCTTGTAAAAATTGCTGGAAATGAATTTAATTTAATTCATGAATATAGCTGCACTCATAAATTTAGATAAACCAAGATCAACATTATTTACAAAATAGGCTGAACTTGCTTCGTTTAACCTAATCTGATCTGAAGCTTGATTGCTCAATTTTGTATCTATAAACAAATTCGGACATCTTAGAGTAGAGCATATAAAAAATTATGAGTCTTTAACAATATATTTACTAACAAGAATAATTTAAACTCATTAACTCATTGGGTCATATATACTGTGAATAAAATCATGATCAATAATTTAGTCAATAAATATATTATCAGCATAGGGATTTGTGGAGACTGTAGTATTTCACAGTTGAAATCACTAGTCGATTTAAACTAGATCACAACGAAAACCTGATAGCACCGAACGGCCGTTTCGTCCGAGTATGGGATTCCTCAGGTGTGCGCAGCCACAAACCCGTAAGCAGAACTCGAACTAAAGACCTTCGGTCTCGCGTGAAAATATCACAATCTCTACAAATCCTTAAACTCATAACAATCTTGAGCTTACTAGTGATTAGGTTAAAGATGTAACTCCTGGAGTTATATCGAGCAGCTGTAACCAGCGGAGTACAATCCCTGCCGGGTATGAGTCACATCCGCCTTAAGTGATAAACGAAGGGTTGCGCAAGATCATGGAGTGAATTATGTCTGACATTAACACCATCGTATGCCAGCTCAGTGTTCTAGAATTTAGGCATTCGCGTGCAAGACCGAAGGCCCCGGATTCGAATTCTATGTGCGACACCGTGGAAGCGCACTGCTAAGAAGTTCCATACCAGGACGGAACGGCTGTCCAGTGCTTCCAGGTTCTTAATGGTGGTTTGGTATAGATCAAGTCGTTACTACAACTATGAAAATAATTATTTGTTAATCTTTGACTCAGACTATCATATAACAAATAATTTGGATTGAAATAAAATTATATAGTGATTAGCATAGTTCGTGATCGATATCATTGACTTTTGATTCGTTAACTCATGTAATAGAAAGTGAATAACTTTATTTAGCTTTAATTTAAAATAGAGTTCAGTTAAATGATTACATAGTTGAACTCACATTGCTTGATTTCAGTTAAAAACCATCGAAAATTAGTGAGTGGTAATGAATGAAAATTCATTGATTAGTTCCAATTTAAAATTTTATTAAATGTAGATTAAATTCAGCTACTTGTTTGTACAATAAGGTGATACTTCACATAACTAAATTTTAATGATAAGGACTGAGTAAAATGTAACCGTATAAGAACAGTTTATGGAAGCACTTTACATATATATAGAATAGTATAGTATAGTATATCTTTTACTAGAATAAAATCATTGCGACGTATCAGCTAAAAGCATCCAAAAAACACTTGCCATCAAATAATAAACAACATTAACATTTACCACCCAAAAATATGTTGCTTTGAAGCCATGTATCTAATGTAAAATAAACTAAAAAAAATGATCAGCCAAATATGTCAAATTGTGAATTCAGGGTTAAATTATCATTTACGCTAGTTATATTTTCATTCACTGATCACTGAGTATTAAAAAATGTCACAGTTTCGAAATTCGAAATTCTGATCCAAGTCTATGGACTACGTTACAATACATCCACTAGTCTAAATAATTTGATATCATGTGCACCATGTTTTGATGTAAGGTGGTTGATGGTGGTCAATATGAATCCATGGATCAAATTTTCGTGTTAGTTAGCACTTAACAACATGGTATACTTGCAATCTTCAGATGATTATTTCTCCATACCCCTTGTTGTACACAATCTGAGACGTCACAACTGAGCTATTCGACCCGCTACTGATTTTCTATAGAATTGAGTAGTAACCGATATCATGTTTGCCATACATATGAAAGGACTATAAACCCATAAAATAGTGCATTAAAAAACTAATCTTCATTAAAAAGTTATTTGTTCATCTGTCACTTTTAATCACGGAACTAGCTAAAAGTAAATAATAAGAAAAACTTTGTCAGTTTGTATAGCTTCACGAATAAAAAAGAGCATAAAATATCTTAGATATTTTTTGATTAGTTCTTTAGTTTTATTTTACAAGCATAATTCATATTTAAAGTTGACCACAACGAGTGAATCATTGAAGGATCTTTGTAACCATGAATACTGATAAATTGTAATTGTTTAAGGGTTTGCTTATCTAAACTATGTTCTGTGTAAATATTTTTTAAATGAATAGGACTAATACCAAATTTTAATAGTATCATTCCTAATAGGATATCATCATATGGAATATTTGTAACATATTTAAATCCAACACGTAATAATTGAACAACAGGCATACTTAATATAATTGTTCCACTAATTATATATGGTGGATTTATACAGAATGGATAATTTGATAATGACATATATTTAGGCAAGAACGGGATACGTACTGGATAAGAGATACGTTTTACATGACCGGATGCATAAATTCTATATTGACTAAGTGTAATACGACGTAATAATTGTATTAAATTTATTGGATGTAAAAAAGTATCATCATCTAGAAATAGAGTAAAAGATTTTTCAGTAATCATACAATATTTTACAATAAAATCAATACTACCAATCCATTTATTCAATAAATTAGAATCATTATCAATAAAGTCAAATTGTATAATATCACGATGTATAAAATGCTCATAGTGTAACATTTGTAATACTCCAATGTTACCCACACTATTGTCATAATGAATATTTTTATTTTGTATAAAATAATTTAATACATTATCATTATTGTCGTCTTGTTTGCCTAAAATAAATAGAATACGAATAAACACACCAAAATTTTCATAACATTGTTGATTTCCCCATGTTTGACGAATAGCATCTCGTTGATTGAAATTATTTACATGTGATCGAATGACTAATAGTATATCAAGAGTTTGACATTTTGACGACTGAAATAATAAGGAATCATTATTATTATTATTGCATTTATAATGTTTAATTAGACATTGTTCTGTATAATTAGAAGATACAGGAAACGTTATTTTCCATAATGGTGGTAAACTTGAATTAATTTGTAATTTTTCTTTTTCATAAATCTGATACAAATTAATATTTGGAGGATAATGAAATAATTGATAATTCTCTTGCATATAAAATGTAATCAATAACCGAATAGCTAATAGCCAAGTTATAATAAGCATAATGTTACAAAGAAATATGTGTTTTCTTGAACATGAACGACAGTTTACATAACTGAATAAATAACTGAGAATATATATTCGCATAATGATTATTGAACGGAATATTTTAGTTCAGTAACTGAGTGTCTTCATTACTAAATGAGTAAAATGAAATGAATCGACAAAATAAAAAAATATAATGAAGCTTAAAAAAATAAAAACACTTGAAACAAACACAAAATCTGGACACATTAAATTAAACCATTCTATTGTAAATGGAAGAAATAAAAGGATTGTTCTCTTGGAAATAGGTCAGAGAATTTTGTGAGTTTTTTTCTGGTTTTCACTTGTATTATCACTAAAAAAACTCACTTAGTTACGCATGATATTCCCCATGAAGGGGCATAGGCTGCTCACCAGTATTCTCTATCCAACTCTGTCCTGGTCAGTCCTTTCCAGTTGCTATTCATCCTTTTCATGTCTGCTTCTGATTCCCGACGCAATGTGTTCTTTGGTCTTCCAATTTTTCGTTTCCCTTCAGCATTTCAAGTTAGAGCTTGCCTTTAACCAGTTTGGTGTTTTCTTCAATGTGTGTCCTATCCACTTCTAACGTCTTTTCCTAATTTCTTCCTCAGTTGGAAGTTAATTTGTTCTCTCCCACAGTAGGCTGTTACTGATGGTATCCAGTTAACTGACATTCAGTGTCTTACGTAGACAACTGTTAATAAATACTCGATGGTCGTAGCAGTTCTCCAAATTTCAACTCCGTACAGTAAAACTGTCTTGACGTTCGTATTGAAGATTCTCACTTTGATATTGGTTGGCAGTTGTTTCAAGTTCCGTATATTCTTCACCTGTAGGAATACGACCTTTGCTTTGCCAATTCTCGCCTTCACGTCTGCATCAGATCCTCGATGTTCATCGATGATGGTGTCCAGATACGTGAACATTCACATCTCTTCCAGAGTTTCTTCATTAAGTGTGATTAAGTTGTTCTCTGTGTTATATTTTAGGATCTTTCATTTTACCTTGCGTATGTTGAGGCCTACTGTTGCAGAGGCTACTGCTACACTACTTGTCTTGACCTGCATTTATTGATATGTATGGGATAGAAGGGTCAGGTCATCTTCGAAGTCCAATTTGTCTAATTGCATCCAACCTGTCCAGTTTATTCCGTGCTGCGTGTCAGATGTCTATGTCTTCATAATCCGGTCGACCACCAGAGGAAAAAGAAAGAGGAGGAGTAGGCAACTTTGTATAACTCAGGTCTTTACTTGGAATGCATCTGTCATCTGTCCTCCATGCATGACTTTGCAGTGTAGTCCGCAGTATAAATTCCGGATGACGTTGACGATTTTATCAGGTACTCCACAGCGTCCAATAAGTTTCCATAAGATTCCTATCCATGCTGTAAAATACTTCCTCACAATCAAGGAAGTTGATGTTTAGTAACGAGCTTCATTCAATTAATTGTTTAATGATGAACCGTAGTGTCGCGATTTCGTCTGTGTATAAATGATCCTTACGGAATCCAGCCTTTTGGTCTCGAAGTCGGACGCCTACTGGATTTTGTCTGATTTGTCTGATGGCCACCCTGATTTCTTCGACCGTTGGTGGAGTGACATCTGTCGAGAGGTTTGTGTGTCCTGCTTCGATGTCTGGTCTATTCAAGAGTTCCTCGAAGTATCCTAGCCACCTGTTCCCCTGTTCTTGAATCTCGGTGATTGCCTTGCCTTCTTTGTCCTTGACTGGTATATTTGGTTTACTATATTTCCCTTCCAGCTCTTTCAATGAGTCTTATAGCTGTCTCATATTTCCCTCTGTAGCAGCTTTTCCCGTTGTCGTTGCTTGCTCTTCCATGTATTTCTGCTTGTCGGCTTCAATGTTCTTCTTCACTTGCTTGTTTGCATCTGTGTGTTCACCTTTGTGCCTTGACTTTCTCTGCCCTTGTTCGTCTATTCTTAATTGCTGTCTTCTTGTTCTTTCTCTTTTGAATCTTGTTCAAAGTTTTCACAGAGATCCATTCCTTATGATGATACTTCTTGCGGCCCAGAACCACCTGACACGTTAAAGTTAATGCTTATTGATACCCTTCCACTTGTCCTCCATGGCAGCTTCTTCTTCTTTCAGTAGATCCTGTAAGGCTTGGATCTGTTGTTGTGAGCTATCTTGAATTCTTTGAGTTTGTTCGTATCTCGAAGGAAGGCTGTATTGAACCATTGTAATGCTGTTCCCCCAGTTGCCCGGCGTATCTTTAGCTTTAGTTTCATCTTGGTAATCACCGATCGGTGCCGACCAAATGCTATGCCAGCTCTCCTCCTGGTTCTCACGTCTTCATTGTTCTTCTGAATTTTTAATTGATACCAATGTGATCTACCTAGTTCTTCGTGGTGTGGTCTGGTGAGATGCATGTAGTTTGTGTATGTGTTTATGTTGGAATATTGTGACACCTATAACCAATTTGTAAAATGCGCATTGGTTTGCAAATATTTTTCCATTTCGATTATTTTCTCCCAGTCCATGCCATCCATGATATCTTCATAACCGTTCATTCCTTTCCGACTTTGGCACTTAGATCTACCGTCAGAATTATCATGACCGTTCCTGAGTACTTCGCCATGATCGATTGCAACCTATCGAAATACTGATCTTTATCGTTGTCATTGCTATCATTGATGGGTGCACAACATTAGACGACACTCATTGTGATTCCCTTCTTCTTTTCTCTGAAGTATAGTTTAATGTCCTGGATCCGTGAGATTTCCATTCTATAAGTGCATTACGTGTCTAGTTTGGACAGCATCAGAGTAACTCCCTGAGTGTATAGAGCATTTTCCTCTTCGTGACAGGAGTACGGTAGCATCTCTTCTGTATCTAGCATTTGCTGTCCAGATTAGGTTCAACGAGTTCCGCTTATTTTCAGTACTGCCAAGTTGTATCTCCTTATTCCTGTCGAAATGTGACTGGTCCTCCAGGTCTCCTACATTGTCCAGACGTTCCATATCACCTATATAAATATTTGCTCTGATTGTTAGAATGGGCAATGGTCTTGTTAGCTCCAAAGAATCTCGGCTTCCATCACGAGCGTCGTGATTTTTTCTTCAACTCAAAGGGCAGAGTTTAAATGGTTTAAATTGTTTTTTCTGGTTAGCGTCTTTTAGGAAAGTTGTTTTCTGCGGGACGGGGTTTCCGATCCCATGCCAAACCCTCCTCCTTTACCTGGGCTTGGGACCAACAGTAGCCCTAGAACAGCTAAAAGTAGAGTTACTAAAGATTTTTAGAAGAAAACATGTATCTAATGAATTTTGATATTTATTGATTAAAATATGATGAACACTTTATTTACAAAATTCTTCAGTTCGGCAATGTATACTGAATACTACACAGTTAATTGATTATAATATAAGTGAATATTTTCAAACTGTGATATACTTGGCGTTAAAACTTTCATTGACGGAAAGTTAAGTTTATCCAAAAACACCAAAGTTCATAATGAAAGTGTTTATATTATAAAATGAACATTTAATAACTATTGATTGGTAATATGTGACCTCAAAACAGTTTCTATCATTTAATAATTAATAAGATTTATCATTACAGCTATATATTAGATGAGGAATTATTAAAAATCTTGAAGTAAAAAATAGATATTTAATTTCTGTTTGATGGTCCTCAATGGTGTTTATTCACAACATATTTGATCGAGTTCACAATTTTCATGCATCATGGTGACTCCGATACCAAAAAACCGCTAAGTCGGAATTCACCATTTAAAATTTAAAATTTACATCGATTTGTGTTATAGTGCAGCCTAAATCTAATTTTGTTAGTAAACACATCTCATACCCTCAACTTGGGTATTTCCAAGGACCCTTATTTTAACTCTGGAAAAGCTGTCCTTAAGTGAGTCATCAATCAATCACTAATTAATGTATGATTTTGTTAAGTTAAGCAGTTTACCAAGGATTGATCTGACATATAAACCATTCACATCAGGAACCGACACCATCTGTGGGACCAGTGAAGCATGCTAAATATCTACTCTCAAGCTGTATGAAATCTCCTCATGACCATCTAAGCAAATAAGTGCATAGTGATATTCATGATATAGGTGTATTCGCTATATGACGAAATACTTTAAACAAGGAAACAGATTGGCTGATAAATCTTATCATGTTTGATACGTTTTCCTTGTTGCAAGACTACAAGAATGATGATAACTTTAATCGTTGGATAAATATTTATATTCAAAGATAGTACCCAATAACGAGTTCTAGTTGATAGAGATTTCAGATTCATAGCTTTTCGATAAATACTTCTATCTGACTGTACAAAAAGTACCCAAAATATATATATCAAATTACCCACATCTATTTGTAATTATATTACATCGTTTATAACTGTTAATGATCAGGAGATCAGAACCCCTTAGTCCATTGACTGACAGTACAACAACATAAAACAACCATAATTTTACAGAATGACTCTTTCATCATTCTACACTTCCATTCGCCTAAAGATTTCCTATTTTGTACAAAGATTCTAACATTTTTAATCAAAATTAGACAATTAAAAAAAAATTCACTATTGATAAATCTGAAATATCCAACTTTAATAAAATAATCACACAACTTGGTGGTTTTATTTCTAACGCTGGGAGAGGTGCTCATCATATTGTGTATTAATTATAAACTAAAAAAAAACATTCGAATTATTCTTTATATTTTAACATTCACCTATCAAAGTGATATCATATTTGCAATGAAAACTGTCAGTTTAACTAGAAGAGTTGTCAGCGTATTTTATAGATTGACGAAGTTTAAAATTTTTCTATCATATTCCAAGTTTCTTATCATTAGAATTAAGTTTAGTTTTAAAACATACATAGTTTTAATATAATGTATTTTAATTAGTTCACTAAGCCATGGTTATCATGTGTCACTTGATTATCAATCCTAGTTCTACAATAATCTTTGGTTGCTAAGAAAACTCACAGTGAATTGTACATTGTCTGTCATATTTTTTGTATAGAACAGTGTAATCATTCGTTTTTTTCAACCAGGTCTGTTATGAGATAATAACTCACTGATAACAATGGTGGATGTGTCGCTCAACTTCGTGGACTAGTTGAAGTTAGATATTAACACCGTTGGAT